AGAGATTGTTAGCAGAAAGAGAGAGATTTCAAATGGCCACATTGTATGAATCCTATCTTTAAATTAATATTACTAAATTTATGTTAAAGACCATCATGTTATAAAAAATAAAAAATATAATTAGACCATTTATTCCTAGGTTGAATTAAGAAATACCTTTTATTTTTTTGACAAGAAATACTTATTGTGTTATCTTTTATTTTTTTTTAACAAGAAAAATATGATACTTGTTGATTATCTTCTTTTTTTTTTGACAAAAGAAGAAGATGTTGTACTACATTTTTTTTTGCTTGTTGTATTACTTTTTATTTTTTTTATCCTATGAGCTAGTACTAATTTTTTAATCCTAATTAAATAATTAATTAATTATTACTCATATAATGAAATAATACACATGATATAGTAGCTTAATAGAGTTTTTATGTTTTTTTGGTGAAAGATAGGGGTGATGGGCACCTAATTATTATTTTTAATAAATTTTTTCTTTTTTTAGCATCAAATTTCATTGCCACAATCGGACATACAACTTTCTTATTCATGACGGGCATACACCGTCGTGCATACATCATCGCGCGTACACCATCTCGCTGCTTTATCCCAAGCTAATAACATTTGCAAGCGATTTTTCAATTCACAGGTATATCCCACATCGAAGGGATGTGAGAAGAGTGACTACTATAAAAAACCCAATGAACTGCTTTACGGTATGCTCTCTTGGCCATGTGAAGCTTGAGACTTTTTAAGCTGGGTCAAGTGAAGTGCCAGGTGTCACTCGCATGGGGGGTGAGTGCAACGTGTCAATCACGTGGGGGGAGGTGAAAAGTGGAGTGCATCATGTGGGGGGAGGTGAAAAGTGGAGTGCAAGATGTCACGCGTGGAGGGTAGGTGGGGAGGGAGTGCAAGGTGGCAAAACAATCACATGACGAGGGGGGGTAAAGTGGTATAAGTCACATTTCAAAAAAACCAGGGTGGGTTCATAAAAAAAATCGGATTGAAAAATAAAAAAAATAGGAATTGAAAAATAAAAAAAATAGGAACCGCCGGTTTTACCGATACTTTATTTGGATCGGTTATAACCGATACCCGATCTGAATCGCCCCATTCCGGATCGGATCTGCGATTTTTAAAACACTGGTTAAAACTGTTCTAATGAGTAAAAGGAATTTACAAGAGTTTAGGCAACTCACAGGCCAGGTGCTCTATTACAAGGAACAGTTCATCTCAAGGTCTATGATTAGGACGTAAGATGGAGATGATCCTATATTACCCACTAATCTGTCATTTAACAATTTACATACAATTCTTCCCATGGTAAGAAATATATTGCAACGAATAACCCTACAAATGATGCTGAAATAGAAATATATTGCAACTAATAACCCTACAAATGATGCTGAAATAGAAATATATTGCAACGAATAACTCTACAAATGATGCTGAAATGGTGTCTACCTCGGAGAAAAAACTTACCAATTTCACAAGAACAGAATGACCAGGATATGTAAGCAGAAAGTTTTAGTTTTTCCTCAATCAACATGTACCTAAAGAACATGTATAGTCAAGCAAGAAGGTTAATGTAGTACCCAAAAAAGAACAGTAGAACTTAATTACATGGCTCGAGGAATGAAGAAATTTATAAACAGAAATATCAAATATATAGTTGCATAACACCAAGATCACTAACCAGTTGGGATAGTTTGTAAAAGCATGCATCTCATACCCATTATGTTTCAAGTGGCAGAGCAACGACTCCATACCTTCAAGATATGAATAACCATTCTTCATGCATTCCTTTAGACCTTCCACATAAGTAAACATCAGAATGAATGGATAAGAGAAAAACGAAAGAAACTTGAAAGCCCATAAGCATATATAAGTTATATTTAATATATACTATCATCTCAGGTTATTAACTTATATCCACAAATAACTAGAAGAAAAATAAAAGTACCCCTCCGCTGATCCTTATTTGTTCATGAATCAATCACAACCACAGGTTTGGACTGAGTTATCAGAACTTTCTCCATTAGGAGAACCCGGTCTACATCGACCGATTAAAACTAGATGTCAAAAGGTTTTCTACGGTTCATATAATCCACACAATCTCTTCCCTAGTTAAGTTGGGTAAATGTGATTTTACCCCTAAAACTGGGGGCCTTTTTCAGCTCAGAGAGCCCTTGACTTAAAGACACCCAGGGCCAGGGGCCTATATAGGAACTTAGGGTTTTCTAAATAAGGAAGAGCCAGGTGAGATGCCCAAGTGGCACCTCACTTCCTGACCACACATCGACACGCACATAGCCCACTATTCACATTCATGTTTCAGCCTACCACTAACCTTGCTGATGAAAATTGCATCCAAGGGCTGAGTCAAAGCCAAAAGCGGGATGTGTTTGGCATTCCATCCAAGAGCTAGGATGAAATGAATTTTGAAGGTGGACATATTTGGAATTGTCTCATTTGTAAAGTTTGGCATGTTGGAATTGTCATGCTTGTTAAGACATTTTTCTGTAATTTGTAGTGAAGAGACTTGATTGGGCTTCATATAATGTTGAGGTTAAAGGTGTCCGGCATAGAGTCGCAGCGGGTTAATGTTGTTTTCCCAATAAATCAAAAGAGTCAACAGTATGGAGCTCCAATGGGTCAATTTTGACTCAAGGTGGTCTGTGTTGACGTATTGTGGGTCTCCAGGTCAAAGTGGTGAGTTCCCATGAATGAGGACTTGGATGCATATATGCATGGGAATTTGGAAGCATGAACGCTGCATGCATGTTGACTTGGATGCATGGGAAAATTAGAGAGCTAGGGTATTTTAGTCATTTCTCTTTTGTTTAGAGGGTATTTTGGTCATTGTTCCAGAAACGTCGTAGGTGTGGGAGAGTCCTATATATACTTCATTTTGCTGCAACAAAAAGGTGCTTGATTGATTAATGAAATGGAATTATCTTTCCCCTACTTGCCATATTTGAGATTTGCCCAACATGTGCATTGGAAGACATCTAGTATGTGTACCGGTGCTGCCCTACTTGGTCTAGTGGTGTGGTTAGGGCCGAAAAAGCCCTTGTTCCTATCTCCTCTTGACGGTGATCAAGAAATATTTCTCCTCGTTCAATTGACTGGCATAATCAACAAGTTGTGGCTAAATCGGTCGTGGATCTTCCGGGTCTGTGCTCCTGATTTTGCATGAGTTACTAAAAATAATAATCAATAGTCCCCCAGTCCAACTATACATTGCTAATGCTCTTCTACAAGTGTACAAATAAAAATCGAAAAGACTTTCTACATCTGTCTCTTAAGGAAGAAATGCATATGTCTCACCTTCGAGGTTTATTCTCAAGCTATTTTCCCAAACTTCAAAATGGTATATATAGCCCAAACAAACACAGCACTACTCTACTTTCTTCAAAGACATTGCAATATTAATACTAAATCCTTCCTATTCTTAGATCTTATTCTCTCAAGGAATTACATTTTTTTTTTTGTTTGAAAAAGAATAACAGTCTCAAGGAATTATTGCCATTTATATATTTGGTTGCTACTAGAGAAGATCAACAAGACATTGCCTGCATTCAAGCCTTGCATAAACATTTCAGATAATTATGTTGGCTGCCAACCTACCATGGGCTCCCATGTTTATGTTAGGGCAAATTTAGAGTCTCGAAGCATCATGACCAGAAATATTGCTGAACTTTGTGCACTTTGTTAAGTCTTTTCACACAGCTCAACAGTTTTAAAGTCTTACATTAAGGAGGAAAAAGAAAAACAGAACCATCTTACCATTAGCTAGAAAAAATATGACAAAGTTGAGCTCAGTAGTTCTATCCTATGAACTTGATTCGGTATTTGAAACTACTGCTAAGTACAGTGGTTTAACAAAAACTAAAGAGCATAGAGAAACGTGTAACATAAATAACACAATGAGAACTGGTATAATGTTTCCACAGAGAGCATTTTCTACCACTCTGAATGATTTCCTTTCTGAGAGAAAGTTGACTATATTTGGTAAGTAGATTTACCACTCCAAATGATTGAAGGCCATGTTCTGGTTCCTGAATATTATCGAAGCAGGATATCAATGGAGATCAACAAAGAGGCGGCTAAGTAGGTAAATATGCACCCCTGTGTATATTAGGAATGCTCCCTGAAGACATCTGCCTTTTGCGGTGAATCATTAAGGACTCTCAGTAAATTCGCCAACAATATTTTTAGCGACTAGAAAAAATTTTCAAATAGAAAATGTGAAGGATCCAAAGGAATACTAGTTTTGAAAGTAGTCCCACTGAAAGTACATGATTCTAGCAAATATCATTACAATATCATCAGAGAGCAGAGCATTATATTGTTAAGTCAACTCAAAAAAAGAAAATATCAGCCTAAAAAAATTAAACGATGTGGTTACTTCTTAAAATCCTTTCATTAGGTTCTTCCTCAAGAATTTTGTTAACAAATTACAAATTGCCCTTGTTCTGGCTTTGTAACCCTGAAAAAAGTAATGACAATTTGGTTATCTAATCCCACTTAAGTTGTCCGAGCCAAAAGACATAAAAACTCCTACTTTTTCTGGTTCCAAACCTAGAAAAAGATTTTTTAGTAAAAACATGTTCCAAGTTTGAAATGGGAAATGAGCAGGGGTATTTAGGTCACTTGGCTTGAGTAGCTTAAGTGTCTAAATTGGCAAGCTGCCCTCACTTCATACATAAGGTTACAAATCTGAACAAGTCCAGTTTGGGCACTTACTAACATAATAACTAAGAAAGTACCTAAGTGAAATAAATTTTTTTTTCAATGATCACTTTTTGGTAAATTATCCAACTTGAGGTGGTTTGACCATGTTATTGATATTTCCCCAAATAAAAGCATACTGAGATATTTATCAAACCAATAAATTATACAAAGAGATGTTAAGATACTATATTGGTAAGCCTCTAAGCGACAACAAAGGGGTCAGGGTAAATGATTCGGACCACTTGGATACCAGATAATTAACAGCGATTTTCTAATAATGACACTATTTTCAACAAAAATAAAGATCTTCACACACATAGAACCATGTAAATGTGCCACAGTGTGCAGTTTAATGAGATGAACATGATAAAGAAACTAGAAGAAACTTTATAGGCACTAAATTTGACATGTATCCCAACTAAATCTATTAAGGATTTCAACTAAAATATAAAATATTTTTCTTTCTCGTTTCCTTATCTGATTCATATATGCAAGGCAAGCTAGTTTCGAAGTAAAACTAAAGAATATCACATTAGTAAATAAGCAAAGTTGGTGTCATAGTGTAAAAAGAGTGACTCGGATTGGGACTCGCCATAGTCCTGAACCAAGTCAACGCAGAGGAACTTGGCAGATTCTCAACAGATTCTGTGCAGTCTCACCAAGACTCAGTAGACTTGGAGCCAACACAAGGTGAGCAGACTCACCAAGTTTAAGAACTCTGGTTGGTACCATCAGAGCAGAGATGCTTACTAGTAGATGGATACTGGTATCAAATTTCAACTTTCTCGAATATCAATGTCTACCTTGCAAATCAAAATGCCTTCCATCTTTGAAGAACTTCTTAGCCAGCTCCTCCTATAATGAGGAATAAAGGAACCACCGGTCAACATTTAACATCATTAATCATGGCCGAATCAGTGAGATCTCATATCATCTGTAACACACAACATTTTCCCAGATACAAGAGAAATGTTCATAAATGCTCATTGATAATCTCATCAACACCCAAATAAGCAACACATCAAATTGCTATGGCGTTAGGCAGAGTGTAGAGGTGCCAGGAATGTTGAACTACAGTGACAATTTCAGTGGCTCAAAAGCAAGTGTAAAATTACAGCTCACACCTTTGCCAAGTAAATGCGAAGAAGAAAAAATCACGACCTACCAAAAAACAAGGTACTTGAATAGTAAGAATAACTCTTGCAAAGTCCATGGTCGAAGTTCCACCACCTTTACATGGTATTCCAGCGACCCTACGGCCACAGTTAACATATTTTGCAGCGGCATCTTCTTTTTCTGTAGTTAACCTCATTAATCAAAACATAGATTTACAAGTAAAATTCGTTAACGAAAATAAATTTGCCTCCAGCTTGAACTTTAAGAATTGAATCTTGTAACCACCAACGATTATTTAAAATCTTCATCTCTGGTTGATAGATCAGCCACCTCATTTACTTCCTGCATGAGAGATAAAAGGAAACCCTAGAATTGCTTGTGAAGTCAAAAACCTCTTAAAAAATATTGGTAATTGGCATGGGCATTTTGTTTTTCCACTAACCCGTGAGAACATGATGAAGGATTCACCTCTCAGTATAGTCCTCCAACTTGAATGTAGAAAACATGGTCCAGTTTCTTTTTTTTCTTTGGCTGCTTCTTTGGAATCACAATTAGCAAGGGTCCAGAGAAGGTCAATGGGACAAATCCCCTGATATCCCGCCCGACTCCTCCAATCCCAGGCCAAGCTTTCCACTAGAACTTCCATCAAAGTTCAGTATAAGCCAAACGACTTATACATTGCAAACTGATGTTGCAATTTGGAAAGGAGATTTTACATTTATTCTGTCATGCAATATAAATTGTGAACTGTGAAAAACAAACCATTTCTTAACCAGTTAACCATGGTCAAGTCATAAGAACCTAGAAACATGTTCCCTTTTTTTTTCTTTTTTTCTTTTTTCCAGTAAGCAGGATTATCTAAAATCGACTAAGCAGGATTATCTAAAATCGACTGGTGGAATCATAGTGCCTGATTAATGACCATGCGGTTATCATATCTTGCCACTAGGGAGGATTCTTAATTTCAGCACATTCATTGACTTTTTCTTGGGGGCCAATGCTAACAGCAGCCATGTTTGTTCCATTCCTGCATGAAACATGGGTGAGAGAATCAGAACCAGGGCTGAAATCCACCCATGCACATGGTTCTCTCACCAGGGCTGAAATCCACCCATGCACATGGTTCTTATAGCAAAATATGACTACAAAGAGCAATAGCTTTTATTTTCATTTGATAAGTATCCACATCACTTGTTATCTTATCCAAATGTCGGATATCATGGATGATCAAACCATAAAAACATAATTGATAAATAACTTCCTGAAATGACCCATTATTCCTAAGGAATTACTTACAATTGGAGAAAACCAAGAAGGGAGGGGAACTACACAACTAATGAACAAGTCCCTTCTTAAAAATCAGCAAATCAAGTGGTCTTATGTAATGATAATTTCCTCCCCATGCATTACATGGAAATCCTCTAGAAATCTCTAAAACCAATTAAGACTCCTCGAGAAGCCCCTCAAACCAATCATGAATCCTCTAGACTTAAGGACTCCAACTAGTACATCTCAAAAATATCCCTTTCCAACAGGAATTATCATCATCATCATTCGAGTCTTACCCCAACTATTTGGGGTCTACAGGAGTCCCGTTTCTCTATTCAACTTTATCAAGGGTCATACCTTGAGTCAGACTATTAGTTCACTACTTCCATTCATGTCCTTTTGGGCCTCTTGTTGGCCCTGTTAGAGCCTTCCACTTGAACCAAATTATCCCTCCTAGCTGATATTGTTCTGGGTCGATGCTGCACATGGCCAGACCACCAAGTCTCCTGTCGCTCATCTTATTGCCTATTGGAGCTACTCTTAAGTTCCTTTAGTTGTATTCATTCTGAAATCTATCATTTCTTATCTTGCCACTCATCCATCTCAACATCCTCATCTCAGGTATAGTAATTATATATATATATATATATGGAAGATACTACAAAACGCCTATAGGCGAAAATGAACAGTGACTTCGCCTACCCTCATCACCACCCAAAGTTCATCACACGGTCACGATTCTCATCACCACCCAAAGTTCATCACACGGTCACGATTGTCGGGTAGTGTTTCATTTTTCTTTTTTTTTCTACTAAATCGGAATGACCTGAAATTTGGAGCGTGTGCTCATAAAAATAGATGAATCAAC